ACCGTCTCCGTCGGGCGGGCGGGCGGCGAGCGGCCAGGGCGGGCGGGCGACGGAGCATGCGCAGAGGCCGCCACGGCTGGTACCGCCACCGCCGCCGCCAGGCCGGGCTTCAACACTTCCGGCCGCCGCCGGCGGCGAGCCGGCGCCTTAAAGGGGACGCGTCCCTATTGCCGGACCCGCCGCGAACAGCCCTCAGCAGCGGGATTTGGACTTTACCCTAGCGAAAGTCTTCGTGCAGCGTTGGAAAGGTCGCTAAGGACCCCAGTAACTCTTCTTTCTGCACTTTCATAGCTAAGGAAAAATAAGACCCAAAAGAAGGCGCCACCATAACTGGGGACCAAGCCAGATTTCTCGACTCCTCTGGAGGACTCTGCCCATTCTACTTTCCCAAACCCTGTTTAAGGACGCTCCTAGCTGATCAGACCTTCGAGTTGCGATCCAGCTATGAATTTGGAGTCAGGAGCTCCGCCTGAGCCTACCTCAGTAACTGGTCGCGAGCCCCTGAGGTGTTCTGACCCAGGCCTGGCGCAAGGCTCTCGTGCCTGTGGGGTTCTGGGTTCAGATGCTGACTTTGTTGGAAGTTCCTTGACGGTCGAAGCCTGTGGCATGTCATGTGAGTGTTCAGAGGAGTGACCCTCGAGGCCGGTAAGAGTGACCTTTCGGTGGTCAGGCCTTGGCCTGGTGTGGTGTAATCCCACAGCGACCCTACCTGGTAGGATTCTTTTCACTCCTGTTTTACAGATCAGGAAGAACGGGAAGTAAGAGAAGCGAACTAATCCCTCAAGGTCGTGTAACTTGGAAATGGTGAGGCCAGGAGCGTCCCTTCCTTCTCCAGAGTCCTTGGGGATCGCCACCGACATGTTGCTGTTTTACTGAGAACAAGTGAGAGGGCCGGCGCTGTGGCATAGGGGGTAAAGCCCCCGCCTGCAGTGCCTACATCCCATGTGGCCGCCGGTTCGAGATCTGGCTGCTCCACTTCCGATCCAGTTCTCTGCTGTGGCCTGGGAAAGCAGTGGAAGATGGCCCAAGGGCTTGGGCCCCTGCACCCACGTGGGAGACCCGGAAGAAGCTCCTGGCTTCGGCCCAGTTCCAACCGTTGTGGCCATCTGGGGAGTGAACCAGCAGATGGAAGACTTTTCCCTTTCTCTCTGCCTCCCTGTAACTCTGCCTTTCAAATACACAAATAAATAAATAAAAAAGAAAAACAACAACAAATGAGCTGGTGGTAGCCAGGCCCTTTTGAGAGGGGAAGGAGAAACTCCTCCTCTTTGCCTCTCCTGTGCCCTACAGTTCTGCTTTCTGTCCCCTCTGAAGAGACTACAAGTTCTTGATTCACGGAAAGGCCAGGCAGCCAGAGTCACAACTGGATTTAACCGTGAACAACCCGGGGCCAGCGCTGTGGCGCAGCAGGTTAAGCTGCAGTCTGCAGTGCCGGCATCCATATGAGCGCAGGTTCAAGTCCTGGCTGCTCCACTTCCCAGCCAGGTCCCTGCTGATGTTCCCGGGAAAGTAGCTAGAAGATGGCTCAAGATGGTCCCTGCTACCCACGGGGAGACCTGGAAGAAGCTCCTGGCCCCTCACTTTAGCCTGGCCCAGTCCTGACCATTTAGGCCAGTTGGAAGATCTGTCTTTCTCTGTAGCTCTGCCTTTCAAATAAATCTTTTAAAAAAGAAAAAGAAATAATAAGAGTGAACAACCTGAATTCTAACTATGACCTTAGCAATTCAAGGATCTTGGCCAAGTCAAAGCTCCCCTTAAAACATCAGTGCTGGGACCAGCACTGTGCCATAGCAGGTAAGGCTGTCGCCTGCAGTGCTGGCATCCCATATAGGTGCTAGTTCGAGTCCCAGATGCTCCACTTCCCATCCAGCTCTCTGCTATGGCCTGGGAAAGCAGTAGAAGATGGCCCAAGTGCTTGGACCCCTGCACCCATGAGGAAGACCTGGAAGAAGCTCCTGGCTTCAGATGGGCCTAGCTCCAGCCATTGTGGCCACTTAGGGAATGAACCAGCGGATTGAAGACCTCTGTCTCTTGCCTCTACCTTTCAAATAAATAAATCTTTATTAAAAAAAAAATTGCTGCCCTATGGTGCAGGCACTGTGGCATAGTATGAAAGACCTCTCTCTCTGTAACTGACTTTGAAATAAATAAATCTTTAAAAAAAAACACCTTTGGTTTCCTCATCTATAAAATACAGTTATCCCACTGTGTTTCCAGTATGTATGGACGCAGTTACCAAGATGGAAAAAGGAGACTCACTACCAGTGTTGGGATTTTTTAGTTTGGTTTTTGGTTTTTGTTTTTTTATATTTATTTTACATATTTAAAAGGCAGAGTGACAGAGAGAGAGAGAGACAGATCTTACATCCACTGGTTTATTCCCCATATGACCACAACAGCCTGGATTCCCTTTAGGTCTCCCATGTGGGTGGCAGGGTCTCAAGTACTGAGGCCGACTTCCACTGCCTCCCCAGGCTCCTTAGCCAGAGCAGTTGAGACCTGAACCAGCGTTCATTCCAGATGCCGGTGTAGGAAGCAGCAGCTTAAACCACAGGGCCACAGCACTGGCCCAGGATCTGTTCTTATGACCGAGAACTTACACATTAGTAGGTGATTTTGAATGTAAAAGGACCTGGCCATAACCAGATTCTTGTGTAAATTGTTCCTTAGCATTAACATCTATGATCTTTTGATTATGTCGAATACAGTCCTTGAACCTTGGCTACAACACTGTTCCTGCCTCCCAGGAGCTCTTGGCCCACACTCTATGGAGACATAATTGTAAACAGATACAGGGAAGCTGGCTCTGTGGCTTTAGTAGGTTAATCCTCCGCCTGTGGCGCCAGCATCCCATATGGGCACCAGATCGTGACCCAGCTGCTCCTTTTCCGATCCAGCTCTCTGCTATGGCCTGGGATAGCACTGGAAGATGGTCCAAGTGCTTGGGCCCCTGCACCCGTGTGAGAGACCCAGAAGAAGCTCTTGGACAGGACAGTGTGAGCAGTGTTATATCCTAGAGATACAGACCAAGCACTGTCCCAAGAAGATTCCAGAAAGGCTTCATTGAGGAGGAAGCATTAGAGCCAGATCCCAGAGGATGAGTAGAGGTTCATCAAAGAGAAAAGTGAGGAAGAACAACATATTCAAAGATAAAGAATAAATGATGGGGCTGGCCCCGCGGCTCAATAGGCTAATCCTCCACCTGTGGCGCCGGCACCCCAGGTTCTAGTCCCGGTCCGGGTGCCAGATTCTGTCCCGGTTGCCCCTCTTCCAGGCCAGCTCTCTGCTGTGGCCAGGGAGTGCAGTGGAGGATGGCCCAAGTACTTGGGCCCTGCACCCCATGGGAGACCAGGATAAGTACCTGGCTCCTGCCATCGGATCAGCGCGGTGAGCCGGCCACAGCACGCCGGCCGCGGCAGCCACTGGAGGGTGAACCAACAGCAAAGGAAGACCTTTCTCTGTGTCTCTCTCTCTCTCACTGTCCACTCTGCCTGTCAAAAAAAAAAAAAAAAAAAAAAAAAAAAAGGTATGTACTGGTTAGGAGAAAGACCAGGAAAATGAGCTATGAAGAGAATGCTATCACCCAGGCCAGAAAGAGTAAGGGCCTCACCCAGGATGAAGCTGGCCCCCATCAGCAGTGAAGTGTCTTAGGCTGCGTTAAAAATGACAAAGGCAGGCCGGCGCCGCAGCTCACTAGGCTAATCCTCCGCCTGTGGCGCCAGCACACCGGGTTCTAGTCCCAGTCTGGCGCCAGATTCTGTCCCGGTTGCTCCTCTTCCTGTCCAGCTCTCTGCTGTCCCGGGAGTGCAGTGGAGGATGGCCCAAGTCCTTGGGCCCTGCCAGGAGAAGCACCTGGCTCCTGGCTTCAGATCAGCGCGGTGTGCTGGCCGCAGCGGCCATTGGGGGGTGAACCAACGGAAAAAAGGAAGACCTTCCTATCTGTCTCTCTCTCTCACTGTCCACTCTGCCTGTCAAAAAAAAAAAAAAAAAAAAAGACAAAGGCAGATCCCTCACATTGGGTCTAGAGGTGGTTGCAAAGTTTCTCTATAAGCACGATTTGGAACTTAAATAAATCCCATGTGGCTGTGTCCAGTGGCATCTGTTTCTTTGCTTTTTTGGTGGTCATACCTCCTGGGTATTGGCTTCTTTTCTTTTACAAGCTTTAAACTCTCAAAAGACATCACCACACTTCAGGCACAGTTCTGAATTAGAACCAACAATGCCTAGCAACCAGCCAGTGAGGGTGGTGAGGGAGAGATCGGGCCAAGGATGACCCCATGTGAAGGCAGAGAGCAGGAAGACCTGGTTTGACTGGGGACTGGAGCAAAGTGGAAACGAGGCGTCGGTTTGGACTTGCTGAGTCAGGGTGTTCCTGGGACATCCGCATGAAGATGTCCACAGGAAGTGGGATGGACTTGTCTCGGGCAAAAGGTCTGGGCTGGGATTTGTAGATGGGACCATGAGGCCAAGGATGAATGAGGTCACCCAGGGAGAATATGCAGAGAGGGAGGGGCAGACACCCAAACCTGGCAAGCATCGAGACTTGAGGAACCTGCAGACAACCAGAAGTGGTCAGAAAGGTTGGGTCTCTGGACAGAGGGGAGAGAGGAAGTCCATGAGCAGGCAGAGCTGCAGACAAGGGGAGGACACCGCCAGTGTCAGAGGCTTCAGAGAGCTCAGGCGAGGAAGAAGTCCCTGGATTTGGCAGCTGTAGGTCAGTGCTGAGCCTCCTAGGGTGGGGTGACCCCTGAAATGGGAGAGGAGGCCAGACTGTGGAGGATCAAGTGGTAAAGTTAGAGGAGCAGAAACAGTGGAGACAGTGATTTTATTTTAAAATTTTATTTATTTATTTGAAAGTCAGAGTTACACAGAGAGAGATGAAGAGACAGAGAGAGGTCTTCCATCCGCTGGTTCACTCCCCAGTTGGCCGCAATGGTCGGAGCTGTGCTGATCCGAAACCAGGAGCCAAGAGCTAGCTTCCTTTTTTTTTTTTTTTTCTGATTTATTTTTATTTATTTATTTGAAAATCAGAGTTACACAGAGAGAGGAGAGGTCCTGCATCTGCTGGCTCACTCCTCAGCCAGCTGCAGCTGTGCCGATCTGAAGCCAGGAGCCTCCCCTGGGTCTCCCACGCGGGCGCAAGGGCCCAAGGACCTGGGCCACCCTCCACTGCCTTCCCAGGCCACAGCAGAGAGCTGGATCAAAAGTGGAGCAGCCAGGTCTCAAACTGGCACCCACATGGGATGCCAGCCCCTCAGGCCAGGGCATTAACCCACTGTGCTACAGCACCGGCCCTGAGCCAGGAGCTTCTTTTCCGGTCTCCCATGTGGGTACAGGGGCCCGAGGACTTGGGCCATCTTCTACTGCTTTCCTAGGCCATAGCAGGGTTGGATCAGAAGTGGAGCAGCCAGGACTAGAACCGACACCCATATGGGATGCCAGCACACTGCAGGCAGTGGCTTTACCCACTACGCCACAGCACCGGCCCCAGAGACAGTTCTTCATTATTTTTCTTTAAAAAGTTATTTTTATTTGAAAAGCTGAGTTACAGGGCAGGAGTTGGGGGAGTTGGGGGATGGGGATCTTCTGTCTGCTGGTTCACTCAAATGGCTGCACCAGCCAGGGCTGGGCCAGGAACTCCATCTAGGTCTCACACGTGGATGGCAGGAGCCCAGGCAATTGGGCCATCTGCCACTGCTCTCGCAGGTGAGTTAGCAGAGTGCTGCATCAGAAGCAGGGTAAGTGGGACTCAAACCACTGCTCTGATATGGGAGTGGCTGGCAAGGTTAGGAGGCCTCCGTGTAGGATGTCCAGGGTATCCTGGGCCCACCTTGGGTAGATTTTGGGTGTGAGTAGGACACAGGCACTTGGTGGCTCCAAAGCAGTTTGGAAACAGCAGGGAAACTGAGGGATGGTGATGCCCAGGCTTGTCAGCCCACAGGCCCTGCCCTAAGCCCCTCACCAACCTCACAACTAACCCCACTTCCTGTGGGAGGTTACCTAACATCTGTGTAGTGCCAGTGCCTGGGTAGAATCTGAACAAAGGCCCTCCAGAGCCCTTGCCCCTAATTATTCCTCCTCTGTGGGGCTCTTGTTCCTGGCTGAATGTTGAATCACATGGGGAGTTTACAAAGTACGCCAGGGGCCCACCCAGATGAACTTAGACAAGATCTCTGGGGATTGGATCTAGACATGAAGATTTTTTTTTAAATGTCCTTGGATGACCCTGATGGCCAGTTTGAGAACCACGGCTCTACTGGCTCCTTTTTTTTTTTTTTTTTTTTTTTTTTTTTGACAGGCAGAGTGGACAGTGAGAGAGAGACAGAGAGAAAGGTCTTCCTTTTGCCGTTGGTTCACCCCTCAGTGGTTGCTGCAGCCAGCGCGTTGCGGCCGGTGCAACCCGCTGATCCGAAGCCAGGAGCCAGGTGCTTTTCCTGGTCTCTCATGGGGTGCAGGGCCCAAGCACCTGGGCCATGCTCCACTGCACTCCCTGGCCACAACAGAGAGCTGGACTGGAAAAGGGGCAACCAGGACAGAATCCAGCGCCCCAACCGGGACTAGAACCCGGTGTGCCAGCACCGCAGGCGGAGGATTAGCTTATTGAGCCGCAGCGCTGGCCTCTACTAGCTCTTCTTTTCTTTCTTTCTTTCTTTCTTTCTTTCTTTCTTTCTTTCTTTCTTTCTTTCTTTCTTTCTCTTTTTTTTTCTTTCTTTCTGTCTTTCTTTCTTTCTGTCTTTCTTTCTGTCTGTCTGTCTTTCTGTCTTTCTTCCTTCCTCCCTCCCTCCCTCCCTCCCTCCCTCTTTCTTTCTTTCTTTCTTTCTTTCTTTCTTTCTTTCTTTCTTTCTTTCTTTCTTTCTTTCTTTCTTTCTTTCTTTCTTTCTTTCTTTCTTTCTTTCTTCTCAGAGAGAGGGAGAGAGCTCCCAGTTGCTGGTTCACTCCCCAGATGCCTGTAACGTGCTCTCCCTCCCCCCCCATCACCACTGCTTCCCAGGATCCACATTAGCAGGAAGTTGGGTTCAGGAGCTGGAGCCAAGAACTGACCCTAGGAACTCTGGTGTGGGAAGCAGGTATTCTA